AGCAGCTGATGGCTCGTATTTTTAGAGCAGAGCGGAGAAAATATCTGGCTCTTTAGAGTAAACAAACGTTTGAGCATTAAGAGAAAAACTGAAGGTCTGACAGCTGCTTCATGTCGGCTCTTTAAAGCTAAACGTTTCTGCGTCTAATTATAGGTTTTACTCTCACAGCTGAACGACTGATTCACATTTTTACAAACTTTATTCATTATTGGATAATATAAAGTAGCATCATAAATAGCCTTAGTGTGACTGATTTTACATCATAAGGATTAGAGGTGAACGATATGAAGTGATGATTAAAAATTATCAAAAAACTATTGATTACTTCTATTTTTGGTAACTGACCACATAGAACAGCATTTATAGGCCCGTAAATAACTTTTAATACTTTTTTAATCATGTCATCATTACAGTGCAGAAAATAAAAAAAAATACATTTTAGTGAGTTTTTTAACATTAACTGAATTTATTGTGACAGTAATAAATAAAATTTCTTATCAAGACAAGAAATGGTTGATGATGCGATAAATAATAATCTAGTAATATTATTAACCATGATAATAAACCTTATTAACAGATAAAAACCAGCTAAAAACCCAGTTCCTGCACCACACCGGATGGTTTTAACTTTATTTAAGCTCAAATATCCTGAACTCACTTTGGATGAGGGTGAACAGATTTACATCATAGAAATCCAGCCAATAAATCTGCAGGATTTTTATGATGTCATCACTTCAATATGGACCGACCCTCTGGAGGTTTACGACACCTTGATGAATTTATACCAGAAGCGTTGAGGCAGAAGGCAGTTTAATAAAAAGACCTTAAAAGAAACATTTCCTGTATTTAATTATGTTTTTGATGGTATTTAAATTCATTAAAATATAAACCCAGTTGTTGAAAACCCAGTAAAAACCTGTGAAGGAGCCTGAAGACGAAGCCGTATGTAGGAGGATATTTGTATTTCTTCTCTTTCTGTTTACAGAGCTGTGAGACCTTTTATGAGGTGAGCCTGTAAAAGTGTCTTTGCTGCCTTTTGTGGCGATTTGGGCGCCGCCACTGATCCCGTCAGCTGAGCGCGAGCTGAACGCCCTCGGACAACTTGCTCAGTGAAGCGGCTCGGCGCAGAGCGTCGATGGGAGGGTTTAATCCCACGTGGGTCCGTCTGCCAGCGCGGCCGCATTCACTTTAACGATGCTGCATCGTGTGTGTGTGTGTGTGTGTGTGTGTGTGTGTGTGTGTGTGTGTGTGGTGGGAGGTCTTATCTGGCCTACATTGCGCAGCAGCCAATCGGAGAGGTCACATCTGTACGTGCAGACGATTGTTAAAAGCTTTCCCGGCTGGTGAGACGTCCTCCCACCTGTAAACTGCAGATTAACTTTCAGTCTCTGCGTTTGAGGCAACAAACCGTCTGAAGAGGCGAGTCGGTTCTGCTGCAGCGGATCAGCACCCGACACGTCCAGCACCAACATTCATCTGCTTCTAAACATGAACAGATCTTTTATTTTATGCTCTTATTTAACTACTGGCCTGTTTTATTTAAGAAATTATAAGAAACGTTGATAAATTGTCTCTTTTTGTCTACTTGTCTTTTTTTTCACTCTTGTGAAAGAAGTTGAAAAGCTGGAGATCACAGGAGGAAACATGTTGGTAAAATTAAATATTATTCTACAATATTATTGCTATAAATGATGTTATTGTTTTGAGACCATCGTCACATATTACTAAATGCACAGTAATGCCACTTCACAAAGACTAATAAACTTTAATTTAGTAAAGAATGCTCCACACTGGACCTGGAAGACGTTTTAAATATCCAAAATAAAAACAAAAACAATAAATATAAAAGAAATAAAAACCAGTTACAACTGAAACCATAAATAAAATGGATTATGATGTCTCTCTCTCCCTTCAAACATTATTAATAATCAGGAGGGAAATTCTGTGATTAACTGATTAATGTGACGGGTTTAGAGCAGAACCTGTCAGATGTGAAAACTGTGTTTTTTTTATTAACATTTGGTTGAATCAGCATATAAACGACTTGGATCAATAATTTTTTGTTTCTAACTTCTCCAAACAGTTTGCAGATATTTTGACATGAACTGGTGCAGCAGAATCGGGTTTGCAGGCCGTTTTTAAATTTTAGCTCCGCCCACAGACGTTCTGTCAGACTGAGGTCAAGACAAATAAAAACTTTGACTTCCTTAAACTGTTTTCTGCAAACTTGTCCGTTTCCAGACTGATGGATGGCGTTGCTTCTTACAGTTTTAGCAGATGTGTTCCTGTCTTTGATTTCCAGACCTGCTGTTGTCACCTGGCTGCTGCTTTCCCTCCTCTGAGCTTCAGCTCCGAACTTTGAGCTGTAATGACTGACAGACACACTGGAGTCTCTTTTCTACTCCTTCAAGTTAAACTTCAGTTCACATTTTAACGGTTTCTGTGTTTGCTGAGTAAATAAGACAAATCTTTGAGGTATCTTTCCCTCTGCCCACAGGCAGTAGAAGCTTATTTAACGCCTTGTTTGTGTTTTCTTTGTAGATGTTAGCAGCCTGAGGGTGGGGGGGCCGCGGGGAGCTGCCCAGCATGGCCGCCATCTGCTGTTGCTCTGCCTCATGGAGTCTCAGAGATCCGCTGAGACGCCTCAGGGCGCCGATAAACTGGAGGGTTTACATCTAGAAAGACGTGTGACTGAACTGCTGCCGGACGCACAGAGAGACGGTGCAGCTCCGCTTTTCAATATCAGGCTGATCAATCAGTAACAGACCGACTTCACCAGAAGAAAACTGAATGCCGTTTTCTCCGGAGCATTGACTTTGTTGCCCTTAAGCTAATTTGTAATTAATTTGGCCGTGTGGTTTGAGTCATTGACTTTTTGGATGATGTATTTATCCTCAAGTTTTAAGGAAAAATTCACATTTTGCTTGTTTCTGCTTCCTTTAAATCTCTGCTGCTCCTAAAAACAACCCAAACGCTTTAAAAAAATCAAAACACCCAGCCAGTTTTTGGCAATGACTTTATATTTTCTGGGGTCTTGAAAATGAAACGTCACAAATCAGCAGGAACTTTCCTGTTACCTAGCAACCCCAGCCGAGCATGTCGTCACCTAGCAACCCAAGCTGAGCTCCAGCACATTTGAGCAGCTGGTTTTACCACGGTATTCTCTGTACAATGGCTGCTGGAAAAGACAAAGTGTTTTGTTGTTGCCTTACCATCCAGAAACCACTTACTGCGCTCTGGTTGGTTGTGCAGCAGGCTCCACTTCTGCTTTTCGAAATGTACAGTTGTATATTTGTGGATGTGTTTCCAGCCATTTTCACATTTGAGTGTAAGCGCTGAACTTGGGGGCGTGGCCAGCAGAAGCTTATTTGGATTTAAAGTGACAGAGTCCCTAAATCAGCTTATCCCAGAATAATGAGGTTTTATGTTTCAAAGAAAAATCACAAATGGCTGAACTTCATCCTGAAGCGTCAGTTCAATAATCCTTCAGATTGATTCGACAGTAAAAGATTATTGACTGAAATGTCAAACCAGTTCTATTTTTAAAGATGAAACCCATTTCTTTCGTTTCTTTTATTTCCAATGCACGTGAACAAAAAGCAGGTCAAGTCTACCTGTTCTGTTCTTAATCCGTTGACCTAGAAAGCAACATGGAATATCAGATTACCGCTCACACGACATTGTCAGATAATCTGGGAACTGGGAGTGTAGATGAGATGGAGAAGCTAACATTCACTCTAATTTAGGATTTCTCCTTTTCATCACTGAAATTAAACGTCCTGCTCTACTGACCGAGAGGAACAACCTGCACATAATCTGATCAGATTAGTATAATCCATAACCATCCGGCTAATTTGTAGCAAAGAGTTATCCATGGCAATAATGACAGTTTCATACAGTAAAAAACAGATTCTCCTTCCACTCACCTTTTTCACAATATTCACATTTTATGAGACACAAATTTGAATTTGTGTCTATTTAATTCTGTGTCTGATCAGTTTATATAATAAGAAATTTTCACATTCTGGAATGAGATATAAACAAAAAACTGAACTTTTTTATATGAACTTCAGATTCTTGTGAGCCGTCCTTGTTTTAACATATTCCTCTCACACCAATTACCGTGTTATGAACAATTATGCTAAAATTTACTATTTTGCATACTAAAAACCTACATTTATGTTCATCATACATGTTTTCAGTCTTTTCACCTGCAGTTGTACATGGATTCATCCATGCAGGCAGATTAAAGCTAAAGGTTAGAGTTGCTGCTGGATTTAATCTATCTGAATAATTTTAGAAGAAAATGCAAAAAATGATGTAAATTATTCATAAAAAGGAAGAAATTTTTAAAAATAAGAAAAAAAACACATTTTTCAGTTTGTATGTTTAAAGGAATTAAGAGGAATGAAGTGTTTACTAAAGTTTTTTACGCTTCACTGAACTGGCTGCATGTTAATCTCATTTTTCACATCATGCAGATCAGATTATCAGTAAGTTTGGAGTCGTTTGGCTGCTGAAGCTTTTTCAGAGAAGAATAGAGTTGCAAATGAATATAATGAATTTAAAAGCAGACTGGATGAAAGGACAAATTAATGTAATAAAAAGTGGAGTGCAGTAATGTTTTATTAGCGATCCTTGGTGTGAAGTGTGAACCGGTTGGTAATTTAGTGGCGTATTTAATCCAGGAAGAGGCTGCTGTCGCTCTCAGTCACCTGATTCGTCCGTCACTAGTTATGATCCACTTCAGGCCAGAATCATCTGCATGCAGGATGCTGTGTGCTTTGCCTCTTCAGATGCAATGAGCATCAGCGGCTGCTGAGTTTTTTTCATAACATGTCAATAGCCACAAATACAGCCGAGCTGAACAAATTTTCCCAAGTGGCTCTTGAAAACCCAGAGAGTATCCTTCATCAGTAATTACCCAGATCAGAGCCCGGGCTGTAAATAGAGCCGTTTACCCATCATTCATCATCTTCTTCTTCTCCTCCTCCGTCCAGCCGGCGCAGCGAGCTGCAGGAGTGAAATGGAGCTGCTGGCCGGACACGTTTGACCGGACATGGAGGCTTTCGGAGAAGTCAACGCCACGCAGGAGGAGCTCCGCTTCCTGCCCTCGCCTGACAGCGACCCCAACAACCTCGGTTACCATGACTACCCCCCAAACATCGGCATCCTCCCCCCGGTTCTGCCAGCCGGATTCGAGGGGGTGAATTTTCCAGAAGACCCCATCCGACTGCTGAGCGTTCAGGTACGGGCCGCGTTTCTGCTCCCAGAGCAGCCTCCATCTTTAATTGGAGCAAAGAAAAGGTTAAAGGTCACATTTCACTTCACATTAGCGTGAATACGTCTGACAGCTGTTTGCTTTTGTTTGTTTGAAGGTGGTGTTGATCTTGGCCTACAGCACCATCATCGGGCTGGGGGTTCTGGGTAACTCGCTGGTCATCTACGTCATCTATCGCTTCAAGACGCTGCGGACCGTCACCAACTTCTTCATCGCTAATCTGGCCGTCGGTATGTTTAGACACACACACACACACACAGCTCAGCGCTAAATTAGCTGCTTGTCAGTCATCGTTAAACACTTCCATGTGTTTTATTTCTATCTGGACGTAAACATGATAGAAATACATCAGAGGATCAGACAGGAAGTGCAGACAGCAGCTCAGTCGACGCTCCAGTAACAGCAGAATGGTGATTTTATTCTCTTAACGTCTGTTTTTATTGGGTTTGACGTAACGGGTCATGACATGCAACTGTGTTAGCGTCTCAGTTAATAGCTTGTTAAGGTCAAGTTTGGTTTAGAGGAAAAAATTAATAGTTTATGCAATGTTGGTGACAGCAGTCAAATTGGTCAATAGTCTGCATGAGGAAGCTAACAGCTAATAAACTTAAAAATGGGAACTACCAGTATGAGCGCTTGTATTTCTTATAAATAAAGGGAAATGGCTCAAAACTTTAACAAATCCCAACAAACTAAAGTTTTTTACTGTAAACAATCCGATCTGTCAGAAGTTAGGCTCAATGTTGGATTAAGTTTATTGTTTTTAAGTAAAGGGGAGCTTACATTAAGTTTAAGTTTTGAAAGCCTTTAAAAACCAAAAAGTTTCTGTTGAAGATCTGAAGTTTTTCTCCGATGATTTCTGTGTTTTCTCCCTCTAAACGGAAGAGTTGAATTAAAATCCCATCAGAAGTGGGTTTTCATGTTGCATGCCTGGGATTGCATGTTGAATTTTCTGTTTGTGGGAACTCTTTCATTTCCTCCTGGGACAAAAGGTCCCCATGTTCATTAATTATATATGTATATATGTGTGATGAGATGGCTTTAGAGGAGACTGATGTAAGTGTGCGTAATGTGCTCTGAGCTAATCTGAAACATGTTGGACTTGATTAAGTCGTGGTATGGTGACAGAAATCTAAATGAATGTTCGCTCTCTTGTGTTTGAAAGAATGAAACCTTTGAGCCGTTTGACGGATCTGCTGGTTTGAAATAAAACTCTGTCAGCAGCGATGAACCAGATTTCTGCTCCGATGGTGATGAAGGTATTAAAACAGATGAAGATGAGCTTTACTGCAGGCAAAGCTGCATGATGACACGATCTGACTTGTTCTTTTAACCGAAAACACAAATGAGAGAGACGTGGAAAAAGATCTTTGACCTGAATTTGAAATTTTAAACCTCACTTTTCTGTTTTTGTTTGGTCAAACAAACCTGATTGCTTCTTTTTAATGAGCCACATTCATGTTTAATATGAACAAAAGAAAAATATGTAAGACAAAGATAAAAAGTGACTCACTGTGGGCTTTAAAATGGTAACCAGATGCATTGTATGAGGAAAATAAGTCATTTTATCAGCATTTTATCATGGATTAACATGAATATCTGCCTACATGCATCAGGACTCTAATGCTTATCCATATGATGACAGTTTATGACATTTGCCTTCCCTTAGGGATAAATAAAGTATTTCTGAATTTGAATTTTATCGTTTGTTGTTGCTAAAGCTTTTAATATACAGATTTCTGTTGGACTGTGTTTGAGGCTTCCTGGATGCGGCTCAGGGAACGGGAAGCCGTCGGTCCGCTGACTCCTGCTGCCAGGAGGACACAGAGTGGTCATTACCTCTAAAATACAGTCTTTGTGTTGATTATAATTGCAGTTCGTTTCTCGCTTTGAACTTCAAAGTCGGATCATAATGGCATCAGATCAAATGTGATTAAAGAAAAAATCGCCAAAGAAGTGAAGCAGGAGCTAACAAAAGGTGACAGAAATGTGCGTTAAATAGGTTTTCTGCCAAGAAACAGAACTCCGTCTCCATCCGGACCCTTAAAGGTTAAACCAACAGAAAATGTTTTATACGGTAAATATGATTAAAAACAACCCCATTAGGGTGTAACAATACACCAGAGTGTTGGTTGGGTACATGGGTTTAGATTCAAATACGATGCAGGAAATTTCACGTAATTTGATCTGATTTTCAAATTTTAGAGATAATACAGAGGCACAAAGTGTCATTGTTACCGAAGCTGGCTGCACACCGAGCGCTCAATCTGAGCAAATTACCAGAGAGCCGAGAGGAGGGAGAAACTGTTACAGAAAAACCTCACAATTAAGTGATGCTGATTTCATTTTCCAGGAGGGCTTGGTACTTTACCGCACTACCAAACGTAACAAACGCTGGTCCACTGACCGTCGTGCTACGGTGGTTGATTGGACAGAAAACTGGCCTGACCAGAACGCCATGGAGAACATACGGAGATGAGAGAGCAATGCAGAAGGTTGTCATAAAGCAACCTGGGCCTTCATTACCATTCACCAGCCCTTAAAGGGATTCAGGATTAGTTCAACATGTTGGCCTAAATATGTTGTTTTCCTATCAACTAAAAAAAATATGTTTGTGATAATCCAAAACTCATAACTACTTCAAAAATGTATATATTTTGTTATATTTTCCACCCATGGAGGTAACCAAAAAAAGTGATAATTTCCCACATGAAAGAAAAAGGAGCGCAGTGAGAAAACCGAACACAACTTCCAAAGGACCTACATTTGTGCCCTCAACATTTCTCTCCAGAAGACTTTGTCATTTGTACGAGCAAAACAAAGGCTCTAAGAGGTTATAGTTACCTTAACGAGCTAAAAACAAATGCCGAGCTGACAGTTTTTATCCACAAAGCGCCTAAACCCCGCTGCCACCAGAGCGCTGGAAGCTCTTTAAATGCTAACGGAGCTCGGTGGCTGTAGCACCGGTGGCACTACCGGTGCCCCGTTTACCTTGTTATAATGTTTCTGATTAATCCATGAGACTGGCACTAAAATGACATGACAGAGTCAGAAGAGGCCAATAAACCAAGACGATGCTTGATATAAGTTATTCGGGTCTCAGAGGCAATAATTAGTTTCAGTCTCATCGTTCACAAGCAAGTAGTTTTCACAGAGCCACTGTTTGTATGTTTGATACATTTAATCAAGAAGAACAGCTTTAAATACTCAGTTTTCCTAAAATTTGAGAAGAGCTGAATGTCATCAGCATAGAGCATTATTTGGTCAAAGGGGAAAATGCACCAAAGACTGAACCCTGTGGTCAGGTTGTTATTTCTCCTCTTTGTCATTTTGTTCCTTTACTCCCTCAGTCAGCTGATGCCTCCTTCCCTCTTTTGTAATTACTAATAAATGCTGCTTTTAGTTGCTCCACAGTTTTAGAATAGTTAATATTGTGTTTAGAAGAGTAATTACCTAGTCAGTAATTGTAATTTGTTGTGTAACTATTACATTTTGAACAAAGAGCCTTCAGATTCAAAGTGATCAGCCTGAACTGCCTACAACTCTGAATCCGTGAAAGGGCAGAGGAGTGAAGTCACCACTGAGTCTTCAGGCTGAAAACCTTTAAATATTCAGAAACGCCACCAGAACCTCAGAGCTGCAAACACTTTCCCAGTCATCTGCTGCGGCACATGGCGGGCGATCTCACCTCCACTTCATTTATCTGAGTGTGAACAGGAGTGATTCGCACATCCCACACCTCTACATCTGATGCTCGCATGTAACCGCCTAAATTTAAAGTCTCTATAAAGACCCACATATTTTGGTGACACTAGAGTCTGACTCATCTCAAGACAATTCACAAGTGTTTCTGAACAATAGACATGACGGCAATTTATAAAATTAGATTTTGAAGTTGAAACTAATTGATTAAAACCTGCCAAACTAAATCCCAGTACTTAGTAATTAGCGCCTAAACAATAAAAATTGTAAGACGAAGCATAAATTTGCACCAGGAGTTTGACGATGTAGCACAGATAATGAGTTGTAATGAGGTGCAGAGTAATGCTTTGGTATGTGAGCTTTTAATCAGGAAGATTAATTATTCTTTGCTAACGATGTGATTAGAAATAAGAAAAACTGCAGGAGGCAAGTCAGAAAACCCCGACCTCCAGCAGAGCAGGAAGGAACAGCAAAAAGTTTCTAAATGTTGTTTAAACTTAAAACATTCGTTCCACGTCTCCGTGCAACAGAAAGATCAACTAAGATCGTTTCAACTGTGGCTGAGCAACCAGCAGAAATCAGGATGATCTTTTCACCAAACTGGAGGAAAACAAAAGGAAAGGAGGCGAGCGGATTGCTGCGTCCCGACCCGCTCTGCAGCCGGCCGGCCGGCTCCATCTGTCGCACCGAGCTAACGAGCCGCAGAAACAAGAAATCACATGGAGTCGTCATTGTTTTCCCCAAGTAGGAGTTTATCTGTGTGTGTGTGTGAAATGAACGACATATTTTCATGGCCTCCAGTGTGTGTTGTTCTGAGACATGTTAAGAAAATGAGATGCAAAGCAAACCTCACTGCTGGCTGTAATTAATGAAATCAGAGACTATTTACGGTAAATATTATGCCTTTTTGAAGGTTCTTAAAGTTTGGAACCATGATTTGAATATTCAGATTTCATTATTTTCCTTTCTCCATGCCGTGTCCAAAGTGCTGCTGAAACATTGGGTGCATTTTGTGGTGGGTTGTGTTTTGGTCCCGCTCTTTGTTCACTCTGATGTTTTTAGGTAGAATAGTGAGCACACTCCAAACCTGAATGGTCTCAGGATGCTTTCAGCGCAGCACTCACCGTTTCTTCTCATTATCAGGATTTCTTAGGATGCTTCATCTCAGAAAATAAACTCCCTCAGTTCTCTGTGCCGCCTCCTCAAGGACAGTGTGTTTTTCTGTAAGGAAAGTGTTTTCCTCTGTTATCCCTGCTGTCCCTGCAGAAACTCTTTGACCTGCTGACCTTTTTATCAAGCTCTTCACTGGTGGCTCCAATCCTTCAGCTGAATTCACTTTGTGTTGGTAATTCAGTTACTGGTTGGTTGGGATTTTCTGGCTTGCAGCAGTTTTCTTGCCTTTTTGATGCAAAGTCACATTGACAGTCTGTTTTCTTGAAGGAAACTACGGTTGACAGAGGAATGATTTCAGGAATCGGCGCCGTTGAAAGTTGCCTTTCTGATTCATGTGAAATGAACTGCTGGCTTC